AAATAAGGACCACAGAAGTAAAGAGATTCACTGTCGCTCTGAAATCTTAGTAACGTATTAACATAGTAACTTTTCTGCGTATGGAGTTTCATCTTGAATTAGGGATGAACTCAGTGGATTGTAGCAAGGCCTTGGGCCTAAAAATCCTAGAGGAGATTTCGCTCTTAACGAGAAGTCTGCCTGACTTTAAACAAAATTGCTTCTTTCCTTTCTTTGGGGAAAAAATCATATATTCACTACTTTGGAGAACTAGATAATGGCAGATTTGATGTTATTTGTACAAATCAAGTTTAGCAATTCAAGCTCATAAAATAAAGTGAAGAAAATCCAACGAAATTACTGGGCCAAAGATTGAAAGGTAAAGCTTCCTGATCTGAACTTTTGTTACATTATTGTTTTCTGCATTGTATACAGAATTTATATGGATATGTTCCTTTACTGCAAATAACAGTTTACAAAACAGAAAGGTCTCTTCAATATTATGTTTTCATTAAAATAACTTCATGTATTTTTTCTCTTTCAGCAAGACTTTCCATTTTTCTGCTTTTATTTATCACTGGTAAGAGCAAAACCAATAATAGTTTTGCTTACTCCTACAAAGTGTTGGTCGTAAAGTTTAATTATATGAGTATAAATTTAATTATATTGCATCACATTTGTATATATCTCTCAAGTAATGCTAAGAAGGGTTAACATCTCAGAAAATCTGTCTTTAAGAGACTTTAAGAAACAGAATGCCACAAAATGGTATGCTTTGGGGAAACGTTTCATTCAGAACCTAAATTTGTCTCCTAATTGACAGTATGCTATATTAATTTTATAAGATTTCCTTTGCTTTTCATAAAGCCAGATGTATCTTTTTCTGTCCTGATAGAGGACAGTAAGACAATAGTATCACAGCTGTTCCCTCTTTTGTGCATTGTGTTTGGGAGTTCATATTTCTTTTTAGTAAAAGAGGGGAGACGAGAAGGGATGTTGGGTTTTGGAAGGCAACTTCTTAGACTCACTTTTATCAGAAGTAGCTGTTGCACAGAAATAATATTCTAATTAAATATAATCATATGAATACACAGTTTTGCGAGAGATGATATTATAAAAATGTGACTCTGTATTCTTATATTGCATAAGAAATGGAAGAATGATTTCTTAGTACATTATTATTCATAACTCAGACATTCAAATGTTGTGTGTTATTGTCTTTGTTTACTTTTTTCTGTGCTGGGCATAGAACCCAAGGCTCTGCAAGTTAGGCAAGCACTCCATACTGAGTCAAATTCAGCTTTGCTTCTGATATTTAATAACACTATCTTTGAGGTCTTTATTAAAACTAGTAAACTGAGGAGTCAAATAAGCAATTAAACAAATTATTTAAATTTACATTGCTTCAGAGTACTGTGTTTATAAGTACTCATCTAAATCTTCCAGTTATGCAATACCTTTAAGATTTTTCCAGAAGTATAAATGACTGAGAATCTTTCTTACACCTTGATCAATAGTTACCTGGGAACTGCTGCCTATACTGGGGTCACTGATGTATATTTTTCAGGTGTCAATAAAGTCATTTTATTTAAAAAAAATATTTTCTTTCTCTTGGGAAAATAACCTTTCCATTGTTTGTGTTGTTTTCCAGCACATCCATATTGATAATTTCATAATATGCCAGTACTAACCAGTATGCTAATTTTGAATTCTCTTATTATAAAGCCTAAAGGCAATCATATGCCATGTTTAAAAAATATCGATCACTGTTTTATGATGAAATGATCTATTTCACTCTTTGGAAAAGGTGATTATTCATTCTATAAAAATTGTAATATGGGGAAAATTATATGATATTAAAGTATTTCTATGTGTGTTTGCCAATAAAAATATATTTGGATTCATTCAGAGGAGTTGGAGAGACCCAGATCTTACCAAACTGTGAGGAGTAAGAATATCAAGCAGAAAAACATGTTGAAGAACCTTCTTTATAAACCATCTTTGATGTTTCCCTAAACAACCTGAATACCATAACTAGCAATCAGTAGGAATCATACACACATACACACACACATACACACTACCATGTGCCCACTCTTACAAATACAAGGTGGGTTTCCTGTGGTTAACTGAAAAGGGCATCATTCTAGCACACATCTTTGAGGATATGGCTATCCATTCCCATGGACATAGCATAAAGAGATCAGGAGACACACAATTGTGTTTTGATGTAGGGGTATACCAGATGTATCAACTGTCATATAGGCTTTCTGCTGATGTGAGTGAATCCACGGTGTGTATATTTCAAACAAATCAGGTGAGCCCCTGATGATGAATAGAGACCCATGTCTAATCAAAAACTATCTAGAATCCACTTTAGTTTTCTTCAAATGACATTTTCTAAGAGTAGGAAATTTTTATTGAAAGAAAGAAAGCTTCTGTCTAAGAGAAACAAAAGTGGGACAAATAATATTTTTATAGTCTTCTATTCTTCATCTCTGAAACCTCTTCTCAAAAGAATTTCTAAATGTGCTGTTGAAGTATGGCTAATTTAATCTTTCATCGATATATTTTTTTTAAATGTGTTCATTAGAACTATAATCGGCTTGTGGCTTGAATCATACACTTTAGATTCTAAGCACTCTATTTTAGTGCAAGTTCCCTTTTCATTCTATTTAGCATAATTCATCTAACTGCTCAATCACTGCTTAAAAACAAGGGGTCTTTCGTGCTGTGACTTACTCCCTAAGAATTATAAGCTCAAAATGAAACAGGTTTAGAGTCTGCAAACAGAATTTGGTGAACACAACCAAGCAGAAAAGGCAAAATCCTGTTCTCTCTTAATTTATAGCTGTCTTTGTACCCTGTTCTCTCTTAATTTATAGCTGCCTTTGTACTAGCCCTTGCTTACCCTTATGGATATTTATTAAGGTGTGC